CCCTCATGACCTGGAGAGGGTGTATCCCTATGACCTGCAGGGATTGCACCCCTACTGCCTGCATGGACTCTACCCCTATGACCTGCATGAGTTATACCTTTACTGTCTTCAGGGCCTGTACCCACTATTACCTACAAATGCTGTGCCCCTATCGCCTGCAGGGGCTGTGCCCTCTACAATTTACAGGGTCTGTGTCCCTATGACCCGCAGAGACTACACCTTCTATAATCTGCAAAGGCTGTACCCCTATGACCTATAGGCACTGTGTCCCTATGACCTGCAAGGGCTGAACCCCTACTGCCTGTAAGCTATGGTTTACCCCTACTGCCTACAGGAGATGTACACCTATGGCCTGCCCCGGCTGTGCCCCTGTGACCTGCAGATGCCATACCCCCTACTGCCTGCAGAGGCTGTGTCCCCTACCACCTGCGGGGACTGCTCCCCCTAATACCTGCAGGGGCCGTTCCCCCTAATACCTGCAGGGGCTGTACCTGATGCTTCACACTTATTTTTAGTCTATTCTGCTCTGGATTCATCCTGTAAGGCAGAGCAATGACAAACTCTGGAATATGCTAATTCCCAGGCCATGTCCAACCTTTAAACATGACCCAATCCACTTGAGACCCCAGGAGCTGCGAAGTGATGATGGCGAAGCCTTGCTTATCATTCCCAGGCAACTCTGGTGAATTACACAGGTAAAGCCCTGATTTGGTGAGGAGAGAGGCCCTTGGATTGGAGTATTCCTAAGACTGAAGCAAAGCCCAGCTCTCTTGCCACCTTCCCTTGACATCCCTGGGTGTCAGCCTCCCTCCGCCACATCTCACAATCACCACCTGCCACCGATCCCTCTACCAGAGAACCCCTGACATCCACCACCTTCCTCACACCACTGCCCTGCCCATGCCCCACCCTCGCCATGTCTTGCCTGAAACTATACTACCAGATCCCAGCCTGGCTTTTGACCTTAGAACAAGGTTACACTTCGCAGCATCTACAGTTCATCTTTCCTTGGGCTCCTCTTTGGCCCCTTCGCCTGCCTGCGCACCCCCATTTTACCATTCACTCATAGCTAAACTGCACGTCCCCAGCCCCCTTTCATCACTGTGCATTCCCCTCCTCACCCGCATGGTTCTCCCCGACGCCGGGAACCTTCCTCCCCGAGGTGGGAGCAAGGCTACCATCTATGAGTTTCCACAACAACCTTGGCAAACCCCTTTCATGGGACTACGAGAATCCTGTGACCACTGCCTCCTCACCTGCCTGCTTCCCCACAAGGCGGGCAGACCGGGGACTGTGCCTAGCACTGCGTGGGTTCTCAAACAAGGAATGCTGAAGAGATGGGCAAAGAGGTTCCTTCTCTCACTGCTAGAGCCGTGGGAAGGTGGCCCAGGTGGCTCCCCGGTGAGGACAGAGACTTATGCATTGTATTTATTAGCTCTGAGAGTTCAAACCACAGGTGACAAGATAGTCAAGACAGGCTACAGACTGTAGCTAGGACCTTGACAGTGCTGCTTCCTGGTCCCTCTAGAGTTCCCAGTTGTTCATGAAAAATTTCCTGCCTCCAAACAAGAAGCCCTAACCCTAATTAACAGTCACACACATGCATGTACACATGTGCCTGTGAACACACATGAAGTACTCTTCCCCCACCCTCAAAGGTCCTCAGAATTCACTAGCTAACAAAAAGTACAGCTGGTTCCCTGGTTCTCACCACAGTCATCCCCTGAAAGTGCAGGGACTGGCTTCTCTGGCATTGCCAGCTACCAGGCTCCCACCTGAACCTCTCAGATCTGTTCCTGAGCAAGACTGCTTGACAAGCCCTGATCAGAGGCAGCTACCCCAGCACAAAAAGGAAATAGGAGTCTTCTTTTTAGCAGACGCCTTGACACTGCAGCCAGAGCTCGTTCATGCGTATGATTTATTAACTAATTTAGCATGTAAGAAAAACATCTGCATTTTGCTTTTATCATCTTGCCAGCAGACAGGCTGAAGACAAGATGTGTACTGCAGACTTGTTTAATGGGACCTTAAACATTCCTTCTCACTTGCCTGAGCTTGCGCGAGGCTCTGGTTTCAGAGGTTGTCTGATTTCACTGACCTAACACAAACAAACACAAAAGTAAAGCTCTCATCAACACATAAATACCGCAGGGATGGTCAGAGTGGCCATAAAACCCATGTTGACCAAGCCCCACTTGGAGAGCGTGCTGGTTGCCAGGACTGTCTTGGAATTTTGGGAGTAAAAGGTGCTCAGTTAGTTAACATTCTGAACTGAGCCTGGTTACCTCTTATTATATACAATTTTAAGATTTTCATTTAAAGAAATGTGAACTTGTAAGGATATTTGTTTTGGGCAAACATCACGGTTGGACAATATAATGAATAGAACAGTGTCTCCCCACAAAAAGATACGATTAAGTCCTAATCTCCCATAACTCTGAAAGTGACTTCTTGGGAAATAGGGTCTTTGCAGAAGTAATTAAGTTAAAATGAGGTCAGACTGCGTGAGGGTAGACTCTAATCCAATGACTGTTGCCTTTATGAGAAAAGAAAATTTGAGCACAGGGACACAAACGCAGGGAAGATGGTCACGTGGAGACAGAGGGAGGGACTGCAGTGCTGTATCTATAAACCGAGGACCGTCAAGGACTGCAGGAAGCCACCAGGAGCAGGGAGGCAGCTGGACACAGGACTTCCCACTGAGCCTCTAGAAAGTAACTAACCCTGTGGAAACCCTGATTTTGACTTCTGGCCTCCAGAACTGCAAGAAAAGAAGTTCCTGGGCTTGTTTTCTTTTCTTTTCTTTTTTTTTTTTTCTGAGACAGGGTCTTGCTCTGCTGCCCAGGCTGGAGTGAAGCGATGCGATCATGGCTCACTGCAGCCACAACGTAGCCAGGCTCAGGTGATCCTCGCACCTCAGCCTCCCAAGTAGCTGGGATTACAGGCATGTACCATCATACCTGGCCAATTTTTGTACTTTTCTAAGCAAGCTCGGGGAGGACAGAAACCTCCCGTGGCGTAGAAGGGCAAAAGCTCGTTTGACCTTGATTTTTAGTACAAATACAGACTGTGAAAGCGGGGCCTCACAAAAAACAAAAACAATTTTTGTACTTTTTATAGAGACAGGGTTTCTCCATGTTGTCCAGGCTGGTCTTGAACTCCTGGGCTTAAAGGATCCACCCACTTCGGCTTCCCAAAGTGCTGGGATTACAGGCAGGAACCACTGTGCCCCGACAGTTCCTGTTCTTTTAAGCCCCTGTGTTTGGTGGTTTCTCACGGCAGCCCCAGGAAACCAATACAAATGGCCGAGACCACATTGCCTCTGGCATTTGGGATGATGGTGTCCCAGACCACTTGTGGCCAGCAGAATGGCATAGCTGGGAGGTGCTGGCCCAGGAGAGGAGGAGCTCAGTGCAGCACCTCACTAATCAGGCTCCCTAAGCTCTCTGGGTCTCCATCTCTTCCCACACAAAGCAAAGGGACCTGACGAGAGGAAGCCCTCAGTGCCATTTTGCATGTGTATGTGAATGTCTTGAGCTCTAAAGAGGCATCATTCTATATCATTCTATATTTGTTAACCACAGATTTGGTAGCCTAACCATTCTCTCAAGTAGCATCTTCAGAACTATTAAGGGTGAGTGTTCCCTACAGCCTGGACACCATCACACAACACTGCCCAGGGTCAGTGTAGGCACTGAAGGCCCCAGAGGTTTCCTGGTGCTGGCGTGGGTCCTCACAGCAACTTGAGAAGTCTGTGCCTGAACCCACTTTTCTTTTTATTGGGCCAGAGACGAAACAGCCTCCTGGAGAATGTATCCCCACTGAGCCTGTATCTGCCAACGGGCTTACAACACTGGCTGGAGACACGTTTTCCCATGGGGAACTCTGCACATCCCCTTTTGCTGGTATACTGGAAATTGTCATGAGGAGGGAGCAGCAGGTGTCTTGGCAAATATTTAGCCACGGAGAAGGAGCCATTCAAATTCATCCTTCCCCAAGGTCTTTAGACAGCTCCACCAGCAGAGCTCTGGGTGGAGGGAAGGAGACTTAGCCTGCCCATAGACTGGGGAGGTTCATGGGAATTCTATTACAACACCCTTTTCCTCAGTCCCCCAGGCACCCGGAATAAAATCTTGGTAATGTTTGCTAAGCTGCACTTTATTGAAAATGGTTATTTACCCAAAAGACTTTTATTCAGAGTTATACTCATGATTTCACCTCCTAGGGGCCAAAACATTTTCCTAGGAAGAAAGATCTCATTCCTCTATCCAAAGGAATAAAACTGGGGTTTCTCCAGGCCTCTACATTTTAAGATTTGGGTTGGCAGGCACTAGGTATGTGCTCTGATGTTCCCCATCCTTACCCTCATTGCTTTTTGTTATTCTTGCTAGTTTAATAGTCTGTTTATGAGCTCTATGAAGAAGGGACTGAGGTCAGTCTTGCTCCCAGCATGGCACCCAGAGAAGGTTCCTGATAACTCCTTCTCCAGTGAGTGAATAAGTGCCCTCCCTCACAGGGTCAGTGTGACACTGGCCTCACAGTGCTGGGAAGCTGGCCATGCATTCTCCAGCCTCACAGCAGGAAAGGGGTTTCAAGATGACGAATGTTGATGTAGACAAGCTGGAGTCAACCTCTCACCCCGAGATCTGTTTTGCAATCTATAAAGGGCAAAGGGGGTCTCTTACAAATATCTATTAGGAGCCAAGATTTTGAACTTGCTACCCTGGCTGCTAAAGTGATGTGGCTTCTTTCCCAGCTATGATGGTAAATTTGTGTCCCAAGTTATTTCTGCTGAGTTCAATGCCCATGTGTGATCTCTCAAATGGGCTGGCTCCAAGAACAGGCTTTATGATGCTGAGGGTCAGTCACCTGGAGCCATCACAGGTTCTGTGTATGTCAGTTGCATTATTTGGGACCATCACCCCTGAGTGAAGGCTCCAGCCCCAAGAACCCCCCACCCCTGGTCTTTTCCAGTCCCCACAAGTCCCCCTGCAGCTTACCACTCAGAGGGTGGGGAACCGTGAACTGCTTCTTGCTGGTACGGACAGGAAGGAGGCTCTGCTTCTGCCTCAGGTCGTCCTTCTGCTGGGCTTTCCTCTGCTGGACCATGTGTTCAATCTTTTTCAGCCGTTCTTGTGAGCGAGAAATGAACTGAGGCTTACGAGCTTCCAGGGCTTCCTATGCAAAGAAAATATGTCATTTTTAAGAGCAGTGACACAGAAAGGCAACACATCTGTCTGATGTGGCCAAGAAGCCGATGGGGAGCACAACACTCAGAGACCAAAAGGCACGGTGCAAAAGCACATCATGATTTTCTTCCACACCCTTGTGTAAAGAGGGTAACAGGCATGCTGACACCACAGGTCCTGGGGGTCAGGCCTGGCCAGCGCCGAGGCCCCTGCTGCAGCAGGATCAACCAGCAGCTGGCATTAAAGCCAGGAGTGCAGAGCAATGTCTGCCCATTCATCCTTCTACCCTGCTGAGTCATTTGTTCCCAAAGACCAAAATCCAAGAGCCCTACATTCTGTATTCCAAAGAGACATGGGTGTGGAGGGAATGGAGGTGCTGAGTCACTTGCTTCTGTTGCACTTGGAAACCCCAAGAAGCACAGACACAGATCATCTGCTGAGTGTGAAAAATGTGCCCTTTCAGGAGGACCACAACTGTGGCTAAAGAAAACAGCTCCTCCTTCTGGGTAGAATGAGCTGGGAGGAAACCTTTGCCTATGCAGAAGCCTCTGAGCTCCACAAGCCATGTCAGAAGTCCCTATATCTCCACTTCCGCCTCTGCTCTCCCACCTCTATAAACCAAGCCACTCACACAGGTCTCCTGAACAAGAGTAACTGCCGTTCCACTCCACGCCAGACACTGGGCTGGGTGCTCTACATGTACGCATCACCTCTTGGGAGTCCCACATCGGTTCAAGAAGGCAGTCCATATTTCTTTGCATTTGGCAGAGGCAAAGTGGTAGTTTGGTGGATCACATGGTAACACCTCATCCATGGCAGCCCTGTTCTTTTCCTGCACTGCCTTTTATGGTTTTAACTTACTATTCCTGGAGTGTCTTTGTTCAAGTTGTCCGCATCCTGAAGTACCACCCACAGCCATTGGCTCAAGTTCCATCTACCTCAGGAAGCCCTATTGAAACGCCCTGTTCGGCCAGAGCATGGCACTTCACCAAGGGCCTTGAGCAACAGTGAGTCACACGTTTACCTCCGTGCTAGGCCGTGAGCTCCAGGAAGTCATGGGCCATGTCTCATTGACAATGCATCACTCACACAGTAGGAGTCCTGCACATATATGCTCAGCAAAGGCCCACTGGGCGTGCTGCCAGACCGAAACGTTCCTCTGCCCCCTTTTTCTTCCTCTGGGAGCTCAGAGTGCCTACGGGGAGGCAGCATGGGCTCAGTCTGTGTCACGTATGTACCCCTGGCAGCTATGCTGGGAAAGGAGTCTTCTTGGCCAGCTCCCTCCATGGTGCCAGCCACCAGGAACAGAGAACCAAAAGGTATAAATCACTGGATATGCTGACGCTTCAAGAGAGTTCCATGTCTAAAGAGATGACCCCTAGGAACAGCCTGGTGGCTCAGGTGTAGCTGCTGCCTTGGCTGCCCACCCCACCAAGAATGGCCTTGGAGACGTTGGGGGCACTACGAATGCCTCACTCAGGTCCCCTGGGTACAGGAGCCAGCCAATGGAGCCATCTCGACTACTGCAGCTGCGGAGGGTTTGCCACCTTATTAAGTACCATCTAAGAAGGGGTGGCTAGCTGTGTAATACAGTTAGCAGAGGCTTTCTCTGAGGTGCTTTGCCCTCCTAAGTTTTATCTCTCTGTACTTTTTAAACTTTATAAAATGTATGCATGCTACTTCTGCGAAAAGATGCCAAACAAAAACTTTCCTATCCTTCTATTCCTGACCATGTGACCTTGGGCAACTTCATCTCCCAAAGGCTCAATGTCCTCATCTGAAGGCGCTGAGATCTGGAGCCCCTATAGGCTCCTGCCTCCTGCATGGATTGGAGGCACTGATGCCTGGGAAGTGACCTGTGGGATGCTGGAGCATCCATCACTGCTGCTGTCACTGTCACTACTGATAGTACTTGATCTTCATTCTAACCTGGAGGAGTCAGTGTCATTATCTTCATTATTCAAATAGTGACACATGTCCTGGAAAGCTTAGGGGACCTGTCCAGTTACACAGTTGCTATGAAGTGAAGTCAGGTGGTGGAAGTAAGGTTGCGTGCTCACGGACTCCCCAGGAAATCTCTCCCCTTGGCAGGAATCAAGCCAGGACACACAGAAGGCCTTACCTGCAAGGTCAAGGATCTTGCAGGCATTTGCTGAGGCTCAGAACAGTCTTCAGACAGGCCAGGGCTCCCTGCTCCCTCGGGGGGTGCTGGCGAGGGTGCTGCTGGGGAGGGCTCAGGCGTGGTGGGGTCCTCATTCTTCTTACATTCCTTTATTTTTACAACCAAGTCACAGCATGTGTAATCTCCTAGGAGAGAAGATTTAGAATCCCATTTAGAGGGCACCAGGTGATTTTCTCCTGACTCCTCAATACCATTAGATACAGAAGACAATTTTGAAAATAGAAACGCCAGCGGATTATTAATGGGCCTCGTTAAGCCGACAAGATCATGCAAGCCTCATCACAGAGCCCCCGGCTGCCCTGGTCACAAGCAAGAACATTTGCATTCAGCCAGACTTCATGACCGGCTAATTATGCCAGGGAGGTATTCCCTAGTCTTCTGATGGTCAGGATGGCTTTGCTCAAAATGAAAGAAACTTTTCTATTCAGTGCTTCATATTAAGTGTGTCCTGTCCAATTATTACAGTTCAGTTGTTTGGGGACAGTGTATTAATCTACCTAGTGCTTGCTACACTAATGATATAAGGACAGGGAACCGGTATTCAATTACAGAGCCCTCCCCTGTACTTGCTGGAGACAACCACGGGCTTGGCATAAGTAATTGGGATGACTTCTCTCTCAAGGCTGGTTTTGGCCTCTTCCTGGGGCCATTTTGATTTTCCCTTGTGGAAAAGGTCAGGAAATGAATGGATGCAACAGCACCTCAGGCAGGAGAGTTTCTGATGGACTGGGGATTAATGTGTATTTGCTGGGCACTTACTGGCCTCAGCCTGCAAACCATCACCCTCCACTCTGTCCTTAGCCCACCCCTCCCAGATGAGCTCATAACGTGCCTCACTGTACCTTCCCTCAACACAGCTCCCTGAAAGCACCCCAGTTCTGAAACGCACTGCAGCCTCTCCCTGCCCCTCGCCCACGTGCTCACCTATCTCCATAAAGCCCCTTAGATTCCTCTGCCCAGTAGACTCCTACCTCCAGGCTGAGTTGGTTCAAACCTTCCAAAAGCCTCCCTCCCCTTCCCAAGGCAGGACCCATCCCTGCCTCTGCTATGCCGCCCCGGGGGACACACATTGCTCATTCAGCAGCATTCATTATCAAGCAGGGTTGGAAGATGACATTTTCACCCCACAAGCCTATGACTCCCCGGAGGGCTGGACCATATCATACACACCCTGCATCTCTCCACAGCATGGGCTAGGTGTCCAAAAGGAGCTCATTCTGTAGAATGAATGGAGAGGTGGCCTTCTGGAGGCTCACAGGTCCATGGGAGGCATGTCCATGTTTACAATGATTGCAACGACTAGCACTCACCATTCACACCTGAGTCCTCCCTAGCCTGGGTCAGCTGTCCAACCTCTGCTCAAAACCCACCCACAGTTCCTGTTACCTACAAGCCCAAGCCAGCTGGACTTTTCATGGCTGTTTACATGGTGGATGTCACACCTGCTGCTGTCGCTTTGGAGTCTCTACCTAAACAGCACACCACTTAGAAGGTCTCCAGTCATGCTCTTTCATTTTTCTGAGCATTTGCTCTGGTTCCTTCTGGAAGATTTCCCTGTGACAACCCTCCCCCACCACCCCCATCCTCGCTGCCACCCCTTCAGGCTTAACACTAGCCTCAGCCCCTCTCCTGCAGAGTTAATGTTGGCTTCTGCCATACTGTTTCCATGTCTTCTTGGAAGCACTTTTTCTAGTTCACCCTGTGCACAGGGAAGGAAGCCACAGTTGCTCTGCCTCCTTCTCTACCATTCTCCCCAGCACCAGAACCAGAAACCCAAGGGCCAACCCAGCACTTCCACCTATTCACTGCTCAGAGACCCATCCATTGGATCCTGAGCGTCTCTGCGGCCACAGCCCCTCCTGCACAGTAACGCTGCGCCCTCCTCGCTGGCTGGGCCTCAGCCCCCACCACGCTCCTCTCCCATCTGTCCTCCACATTGCACACGAGACAGTAGTTTCCTCTCGAGCAAATCTAATTATGTCTCTTCCCCTTCAAAGGCTTGGCTCTGCCTTCAATCCAGACTTCCTAAGTGGGTTTAGAAAGGCCTTGCGACCTGACCCACGTGACCCCTGCAGACTCACGCCAGCCACTGCCACCCCCACAACCCCTGCGTCCTGGCCCCCCGACCCTCTACAGGTCCCCAAATCAACCCTGTTCTTCCTTTCAGCTCCTTGCTTCGTGGGTGCCTTTCCCTTAGGCTGCAATGCTCTTTCAAATCAAGTCTGCTCAAAGTCACTTCCTTGCAAAGATGCCTCTGCACAGACCCTCCTCAGAGTATCAGGGGCCATCCTCGGCTTCCCCATGGCCCACCACAGACACAGCTACACTGCTGACTGTTTCCTGTACCAACTGGGAGCCTAGAGGACAGGCAATACCAAACACAGTGCCTGGCATACAGTAGGTGTTTAATAAATGCTTCTGTAAACAATTAAGAGCTAGGGATTAACTTGGGTTCCGAGTGAAATGACTTTTCTCAATTGCCATAACCAATTTACATTTCACAACCCAAGCTGCTTTCTTTCTATTCTTTTCCACAGTGCTTTGAGAACCTCTTTACAGTGATAGGAAATGCTGCTGACATCACTGGCACCACAGGACATTTTTCCAATGTGTTCTTACTTCCTGTTCTATATCATTGTTCACTGTACCATTTAGTAGTGGTCAGCAACTGACCTCCAGAGAAATGATGACTATGTTCTAATTCTTGGTTTCTTCCTCTGTGGGAGGCTGAGTTTGGGACCTACCTTTTGGGCACGTGAGTTCCAGTGTCTCATGCTTGTTAAGCACTGGGCACATGTGGGACTCACCCCTTAGCCATTATTCCTGTTAGGTAGTCATGGGGCCATGGTCACCCCGGCAGACCTGCTGCCTTCAGAGCAGCCATGCACACCTGCATCTCCACCCTTCCTTGGCTGAGCCCAGGAAGGTGCTGTGCACCTGTGTGTGGTCTTCTCTTCTGTCCGCCTCAGAGGGTACTGGCCTTACACACAGTGGGACTGAAAATCCCTGACCCACCTAGGGCTGCCTCCTGGGTGCTTGGGAGGTTATTACTTGGCAACCATTTAAACTTGCTGGCCCTGTCCCCTCTCTGCTCTCCCATTTGGAGAAGGGGAGGCTTCATCAGGTGAACGGTATGCACGAGGTTCAGGTAGGCACACAACCACTTTCCATTGAATGTCTAGACAGAATGATCTCACCCGCCGCTGCCCTCGCTCCTTACCTTGGGGTAACTTGCTTTCTATCTGAACGCCATTGTCTTCCTGCGGAGATGTGCATACATCTTGTAAGGGGCAAAGAAACCCAGGAAAAGGGATTCTGGGTTTCAGGAAGCTTTGACGTCGTCTCTCAGTGGGCTCAGAAAGGTCTCTAGACAGACAGGCATCGCTTGGAGAGCTATCCCCAAAGGGAAGGAAATGTTTAGTGGGCTTCTGTTCCACTGGAGGAGCAGACAGAGTCAGGCATGCTTCTCCTGGTTGCCTCTTGCTGCTTCCAGAAAATACTTCTGTGTGTACTAAAAATAAAATGAGAGTTGTGCTCAAAATCTCTGATGAATCCAATCTAATGTACTGACTTCTACCCGCATGGTGCTTTCCTGGGGACAGACTTGAGGGCTACAGCACTGCAAGTTCAGTTAGGAGCTCCATTTGTATACAGTGCTGTGGGCTTGAAAGAGACTGCTCGGTGGTGTCCTTAGGAGCTCATATTACACTCTCTGCAGTGAGCAATACAGTGAGTGAGTTAGCATCTTGATTCTGGGGTCAGAATACCTGAGTTCAAATCCCACCTCTGCTACATTTAAACTATCCCACCTATAAAATTGGGCTGATGGACTAATAATATTAAATTATTTAATTTATTATATTATTTAGGTTTCTGTAATAAGCATATATTTCTATAATAAACCATATATTTTATATAATTTATATATTTTATATAACATGTCTGTATTATATAACTCTTAAATATGAAAATTGAGGTAATGTTATAATGAAATAGTAATGTACGTGGAGTGTTTAGCACAGTACCTGGTGCACAGTCAGCTCTGAATAAATGTTCATTATGATTACTATTGCAGAAGCATTGGTGCCGAGTTACATACTATGGCAAATACAGAGGTAGGAAACAATTTATCGGGTCAGTGTGCGTAGCTCTATAAAGCAGTGGATTTAAAGACGTACAGCATGTGGCTTGTTTCCACGTTGTACTATCAGAAGCCTGGAAGCCACCGTATGTCCATTATAGGGACTAGTTAAATAAATTTTGGTACATCCATGCTCTGCAACGATTAGAAAGAATGAGGCAGTTGCTCTTGGGTGGATGTGGCTTAATCTGTAAGATACATTATTTAGTGAACAAAGCAAAATGCAGGGCAGTGTGCTTCCCCAGCAAATGCTTCCAGACTCAGATATCTCTCAAAGGATGCAGAAGATGCGGGAGACTGCCGTCTCAGGAGAGGGCAATGTAACACTAGGAATTGGGAGTGGAAGACAGAATTTTTCACCATCCATTTTGTACTCTTTGATTTTTTTAAACCTCTTTCATTTTGAAATGCCCTATACATTCTTTAAAGAGTTACTCAATTTTAAATAAGGGAAGAACTACACCAAGTTGTCCCCCACCCTATGCTGATACCGCCCAAGAGAAATGGCCCCACCGTTGCTGCCAGTGGGAGTGCATCTTAGCCTTCCTGTGTGTTGGGACAGAAAAAAACATATTGAGAATCCCTGGAATAATAAAAGTTATGACAATGTTCCTGCTGTACTTTCTCAAATGTCTTATGTATAAAAAGAAATTGAACTCTTGACTATCTGGCTCTGATAATAACACCAACCTCTCTCATCGATTTCTCAGAAATCTGCAATTTTCCCACCCCCTCTGTCCTGGAGTCCCCACTGTTCCAGCCAGTGGGAGCAGGCTGTGTGGAGTGGAGCCAGGCTGTGTGGTATACAGGGAAGAGCAAAGGCTCTAGGGCAAGAGGGTCCCCAAAGCACCTTTCTGGTTGTAGGATCCAGCACAGGTGAGGTCACTTGAGAACCATCAATTTTCTTATTCACCAAGACGGGGAACCCAGTTTTCCATGTTCTTATACACAAATAAACAGACTGTAGGTAAAAGTACCTGCAGACCCCAGTGTCGGATACAGAGAAAGTACCAAAAATAAGGAAATTGTTATTAGCCTTTGCCATTTGGAGACGTTTGTCTACCTATTGTAAAGTTGGCTTTGCTAAATTGTACAGAAAAATGTTTCCAAATGTTTATTTCAAAACATTGATTCTGTTTAAGAATAAAATATTGCAGACAGAAACGGTCTGAAAATAGCCATACCTCTTTTTTTTTTTTGAGATGGAGCCTCACTCTGTCACCCAGGCTGGAGTGCAGTGGTGCGATCTTGGCTCACTGAAACCTCCGCCTCCTGGGTTCAAGTGATTCTCCTGCCTCAGCCTTCTGAGGAGCTGGAATTACAGGTGTGTGCCACCAGGCCTGGCTAATTTTTTTGTATTTTTAGTAAAGACAGGGTTGCACCATGTTAGCCAGGATGGTCTCGATCTTCTGACCTCATGATCTGCCCTCCTTGGCCTCCCAAAGTGTTGGGATTATAGGCATGAGCCACCACACTCGGCCACATTACTTTCTTTTATTAAAGCTCGCTGATAGAATCAAAAACCAAATTAGTTATCAATGATGCAGTCTCAATCTGCCAGGTAATATGGATCCATCCTGGCGTTAGATTTTTTAAATTAATGTAATTATTTATAGATTTATAGAGATCAACCAATCAATATTTTTATCTATCTATCTATCTAACTATCTACCTGTCTGTCTATCTATCTATCTATCATCTGTCTATTTATCTATCTCTGGTTTATTGTAAATTTTTATATGAATGATCCTGTGTAAGTCAGATGTTCAGGCTATGACTTGAAAGAGTTAAACTAACTCAGAGAAAGTAGAAGGTAGTTAGTGTACTGGAGAAAAGGAATTTGCAGCCAAAGAAGGACTTTCCTGACAACTGATTGATCAGGTCTCATTTCGTGCATTCTGAAACGTACAATCGTCAGCCACGCAGTCACCCACAGGTGGGCCCTCGCAGGACAAGGCGGCACGCGTGCTCTTTTCCTCCCATGCACTCCATGTGCGGGTGGGACTGGGAGTTCTCTGTTCATGCCCAACATTCTAAACTGCATCACCCTGGTGAGGACCCACGGCCACCACAGCCTCTGCCCATCTCAAGAGAAGCCTACGGAAGCAGCCACCTATCCCAGGTATTTCCGTTTATTGGGCTGGCACTTAAAGCCCCCCTCCTGAGTCTAACACATGGAGAGGGCTGGGACATCCTGAGGGTCCTTTAAATAGAAATGTTCCCCATGTCCCCTTTTCTCAAACTGGTTGACATGCCATAGTGAAACAATCTCACAAAGTTGCTTATCTCAGAATTGAGCAGTAGGAAGTGAACAAAAACCAACAGATTCTGCCAACAGTTGTAAATTCCTTCTATTGAGCTCATATCCTTTCATGTCCTTGACTCATAGAAGAGCCCATTGGGTCATGATGCAGTGCCCATTTATGCTTTCCTCAAGTTCATTTTATTGTGAAATACATTATATTTACAACATAAAGATATTGAATATACTAAACAGAGCACCCACAAAGAAGCAGACTATTTCCTGGGCTTCAGACATCTGAGCTGCTCTTGGATGATTCCCACCCACATTCTATAAGACAGGACCATTCGCCTCAATTGTGGGCCACTCCATTCATTCCTTTTGTCTCTAATCTTTCCATCTATGTAGGTACCCCTAACCAACAGGCTTTTATACCAGAAGTCCAACTAGCAAGCACAAAGCTAGCTATTTTAAGGTAAGGACATCATTGCATCCGTTAGACAAAAGCTTCCAGAGGAGGCTTCAGCAGGTTGGCTGGCCCATAGCTCCCATGTGAGTTTATGGGATATGATTCTTGGGAAGAAAGTGGGAAGGGATGAATGAGTCCCGGATACCAGGAGCTGACCACAGTTGGTATCAGGCAGGGCTGGCACGTGACTGGGCATGCTGGCAGGCAGGAGTAGCATCAGGGGAGCGGGCTGGTCTGGATTTTCTGTTCCTGACCCCATCATGTTCAACTGCAGGCCTTACAGATACGTTGAAGCAGGACACTCTGCAGTGAAATGTGAGCCTGTGGAAACCCACACAGGGCAGGGACTGGGGTTGGAGTTTCAAGGACCTCACTTACACATCATCAAGACAAGCTAAGAAGAGGCATGTATCTGGGCTGGGTGGGGACGCTGCCAGCCCGTGCATATCTTTAGGACAATATGAGAAAAAGGTGTGTCTTTTTCAAGACATTTCGCAACCATTGGCCCGAAAATGTCGCTATAAGCCAATTTGATAGAAAAAGGTACTTTATTGCTTCTCTCCAAATATTGTACAAATCTCTGATGTTCTTATATGAGCTCCTATTGAGCCAGAGGCTCCCCACAGGCATACCGTTCTCATAACTGTGGCAATTTTGTTCACAGTAGAAAACCAGGAAGCATGAGTTGTTGCTAAGGAGAGAAACCAATACAATGGCAAGACTGTCAGTCATATCTAGAGAAAGAAAACCATGAAAAGCAGACACATGTGCCCAGAGAGTGCAGCTGCCCAGGGAAGTTTAATAGCCCAAGGCAGGTAAATATCATATAGAACTCGCATTTGAATCATTCATATCCAGATTAGTTTAAATTGTGTTAAAGTTATTCTGGTCTTGAAGATGAAACTTAGCTCTTTAGAACATTCATTCTTTCAAGAAGAGAAAGATTGTCTCTGAGGTTTTGGGTCACAGCTCTGCTCAGCCTCCTGCCCTCTTAAAACAGACTTTAACCAACCACTCAACCAAAGAGACCTTTCTGAACAAAGCAGGCCCCCCTGAATGTAAACCACACATTTCCCCCACATGCTGATGTTCCGGATGGTGACGTTTTCTACCCTCAGAATCTGGGCCATCTTACAACCAACTGTGTCTTAAGAGTTCCAGTAATCAAAGCTTGTGTCATTGTCTCTGGGCTATCAACATAAATGCCAATTTCTCAACTCAACTGCAGGGTGGCCCTTGGCATCTCCTAAAAGCCCAAATGCTCTTTGCCATGAACCCAAGCAGCCCCAGGCTGCCTTCTGCTCTCAGTACATTTGCAAAGCTATCAGGTCTGCATTTTATACGTAGAGTACCTGTATGACCTCTTCCTCTGACCTGGGTTCTTCTCCAGCAAGCCCCATAACTACAGCCTCTAACTAAAAACCAATTAAGAGAGGTTGGCAGGCTTAGGTGTCTGCTGAACACCCACTTTGCATGGGCACCTGCACGTGAGTTGAGGACTCTCAAAGTCCTTTTAGCAGAACTTTGCTGACTCCTTTTGGTCAGCAAGAGGCTGCTGCAGAGTGGAGTGAGGGCATTCTTCTGCACATAGTATGCTGCAGAGTGGAGGGAAGGTGTTCTTCCGCATGTTGCATTCTGGGGGGGGGGCGGGGGGAGGCA